GTTGATGTGAAAAAAAAATAATAATTACATTCCTCACTCATGAAATTACAGAGATACGTTCACTTAACACTAGACAAAACTAGTGTGTAAAATACAGTAGAGTAGCCTATTCCGAAGATTCTTGGCGAAAATGTCTTCTATCTATTGTTATTCTTTAATATTAGTTTTGGACTTAAATTTGAGTAAATGTGCCAGTTGTGTTGTTACGTCTTAACTTACGAGGCTCGTTGAACTCATGAACCAGCGAGTGAGGACTTGGTCACTATGTACTCAGCACTCACTCACCCGACCAAGCGATGAGTAACCTCAACCGTGAAAATCTCATTACACTTGAGACAAAAGAAAACCCAATATTTACGTAAGTGCTTTCTGGGTGCGACTGTACCATGATAAGGCAGAAAATATACGTAGGTCAACAGTCAGTGGGCTAGCAACAGCCATCTAACTGGATATAATGACTTTTTTCTTCCAGTTAGAGTATGTTTTTATACACCTCAAAAGTGTAGTCCAATGATCATTATCACTAACTTTCGTTTAACTCGTCAAGTGAGGGAGTCGCTTAGGAGGTTTGGGGTCAATAATCTCAAGGTTAAGCATCAAGTGGGGTGATCGGCGCCTACTGCTGCCAGGTAAGGCGTTGACCTGTGAGGCGCCGGGCTGGTGAGGGAGGTAGAGGTGATCTGTGAGGTGTTGGTGAGGGAGGTAGAGACCATAGAGGTGACTGGTGAGGCGCTAGTGAGGGAGGTAGAGGTGACTTGTGTGTGTGTGTGTGTTTGTGTGTGTGTGTGTGAGAGAGACGTCAGTGGGAGGTGGGACCCCCAGGCTGTCACAGGTAACTATTCTCACAAATGATACGCCCACAGAGGCAGGTATTCCCACCAGTGATAAGCCTAACTTCAGGTTTAATGTATTATTGTATCATTGTTATTACACCAATTCAGACACGTATCTAGGTAACAATGTGATTATATAATACAGTATATGCATATAAAAAATTATAAATAAACAAATCTAATTCAGTCTATGCATATGTTTATAAGTAAACTCATATAATACAAGGTTGATACGTAAAGCTAAATTGTTAAAATAAAAAATTAAATCCCGGAGTCTTTGTACTGTTACATAAAAGCATTTTTTGGCAAGCGCAGGGGCTAGAGGTAGAGGCCAAAGATTTAGCTCATGCAGCACATCATAAGCAACAGTTCAGAGATGGACAATAGAGACCACGAAAAGTGAAAAGAGTAAAACAAAGAGAGTAGATTAAAGCGAACCTCACTTGTGACAGTTAAGGAGGTCCGCTCCCAGAGCCCACTACGTCTCTTAACTCAGCTGCTGTACTGTACGTTTGTTAAATACGAGACACCGACCGATATGTAGGAGTTGTAGTGAAAATAATTACGAAAAATAAATTATTTGAATGTGAGCCTGAAACAAATATATATGCCTCACCTATTCTACCTTAATTTCACGCCATATTCATTTCGCTGTCCTTTTCATAAATGTGAGACAACTAGATTACTTCAAAAAACGACCAAACTTTGCAAATGGACGACACCGTTACACATGTTGAACTCCTTTCAAACATTTGTCCTACCAGATGATTCTATCTTGCAAAATTACAATGGCATTACTTTGTGCATTCCAAATATCCACAAGAAAATTACTTGATAACTGTTCATTAACAAAGCAGTCAGAAAGCCATCGTAAGTCAGCAAAATATGAACATAACGGCGGATGATGTACGCACTGTACTGTACAGGGAATATTTTCCCAGGTAAAGGTGTGCCATAACAGCGGTTCAGTCAACTGATATCCTTAAAAATCACATCATTGCAGTTTTTTTTCTTATATACAAAATTCCAAATATTAAAGTGTTATTATATTTTTAGTAACAAACATGGAATAATTGAAAAGAATTACAACGTTCATATTACAAAAACAAAAATAAAAATCCATACACTGGCACCACACTAATTTGCCCGCAATATAAATCACGAGTCTTTTTTATTTCAGATTGTCAGATTAAACTTGATTTTTTGTGAATCAAATTTATATGATGTGTATTTAATCGCAGTGCAGTACCATGGTATCAGTATAAAGGGATATTTGTAGTTATCTTTTTTTTTGTAAATTGGTTTATTGTAGTCAGTTGCCCACCTTATTTAGGTATAGGTTTGGTTTGGAATTCGTGAGCTCAGCTGATTGATCTCTCGCTTTAACCTATTGTTAGCCAAACCCTTGAATTATTGTTTGATCCAAAGCAAAGGCGACGTCTGAAGTTTATTACTCTAATCAAACCAAGTCAACCCACTCACAGGAGGTGGAGCTAATTATGTGATGTCATTGGCCTGCAGTGGAAGAAAACGGTAGTAAAGAAGGAAACGTATATTATCAAGGGCGAGACCACCCCACTTTATTAGAAGATATTCTTGCCATATATCCTGATTTTCTCATCCCCTAGTACACTATCTTTCAGTTAGCCACATGAACTTCTCATGTAATCATTATTTTTATGGTATTCCTATTCGTATTATTAAAATTGTATTATAATTATTATCAATAATCCTCTTATTCCTCCCTTTATTATTTTTTATACGTTTATGATTTTGCTGCCAATATATACGTTTATGATTTTGCTGCCAATATCAGTGTAAAAGCAATTAAGTAATCATAGGCATATGGGCCAGCTATTTACTGGATGGGGGGCAGAAGGAATACAAGAATTAAATAAAATAGTTAAAGAAAATAATAAAAATTGTGAATGATTATAATTATCAACATTCTCTCTCACTAAGATATTACAGTAGATCAGTGAATACAAGTATGTATGTGTAGAGGTTTTCATTTTATCAATATGGCCACTGGATATATCACAGATAACTAGGCTATACAACAGTTTCAAACAACAAATAGGTACTTGTCTCTACACATCTGGTTTCCAAGCTGAACGTTAGAGTTTATGGAATTTAAATTTAAACCTGCCAACGGATCTCAGGTATTGGCCTTCTTCCTGTTGCACTCTATATATTAACTGCATGCACAATAAAATCCACTCTTTTCTCTGTTTTTCATCCTTTGGAAATCGATGAAAATATCAAACTTTTATCATGTAGTCTGTAATTTGATATGCATCCAGATACAGAGCATTTATCAGGCATTGCCATAGGACTTTACACCACTACAGCCAGCTGCTAACTGAGGTACCACCCTGGACTACGGACCCCCGGCCGTCGGCCAGATGACGTCATGCACTGTAAAGAACGATTTTTCGACTCGAAGTTGGTTTACTTGGTATAATTAGACTTTGGTTGTGACTTCTCTGGCTGGGCAGTAAACACGTGCCTACCTGACCCTAACTGCTCATGTCAGTTCAGTTGAATTTACACCTGTTAAAGCCATCCACCAATGGATACCAGCCTGTTAAGATACCCTGCAGATGACGCCCGAGTAAGAGCAATTATAGCAGCTATATAAATAACTATTTTGCAGGTGAAATAACCTCACTGACCTGTGGGCGTTATATCAGCAAGTACATATCAAGTCACAAAGGTATGATTGGGATTGTTAAGTGATTAAGGTACAAGTTTACATCTATTTTCACCTAATGCTTCCATTTACCTCAATGTTTTATTTTTAATACTGCTTTACGCTACATTACAATAACCATAAATAAGCACTGTAAGCTTATTCAGCGTAGTTATATGAAGGATAAACATTAAAATTACACATTTTAATCACCTTTTTATTGATTTTGTAAAGTAGGCAAATGAAGTTGCATCTCTTCATGGCAATAAAATTTACAGGATTTTCGCGATATAGCAATATACACTACAGCTAGTAGGAAAATTGCAAAGGCATATCAAATAATATGGCTGCAGGTCATTTGTGCTTATAATATACAGTACATGTACTCCAACCTTACTAGGAGTGGAGACTTAAGTGTGGGGGTTATAATGACTGGAACACATTAGACGTTTGACCCATTAGGCTTGGGCCTAAGCCATATAGATAAGTTGAGACTAAATTATGCAGTCACGCAAACGCTTGTCTTGTACAGCAAATAAGTTAAAATTACAAGAAGTTAATATTATGGCACATTGACTTTTAATGACCACTGCTTTTAGATTTTTTATTTCAAAGTATACAATGTGGTGTAGGTAATTCGTTTGTTAAGAACTGTAACAATAATCGTGGTACATAATTAATGTCGCTAAATATCTATTGTCTTTTTTATCGGAAAATTAGAGTTAATTGCTAGTGACCAAGGAAATGATTTTAACAACGAGTAACTTAATTTTATTAAACTTAATATCGTCTATTTATCATCTAATGTTGGCACTGAAGTTTGAAATGGGTTAATGATATCTGCTATTCTATTGATAATGTTGCATAGCATAAATCTTGAGGTCATAGTAACAAAAATAGTAATCCTTATGGTGGTAATGACGAGTTTTACAGGGAATCTTATAGGGAAATTCCAAAGCGCAATTGCGGGCGGCAGTCTTACACACACCATAAGGATATTTTGACTTGATTGAACAAATATACTAGCTCAATAAAAAAGAAAGAACCGTAGGTGTAAAACCAAGAAAAACTTTCCATGTTGATGCATGGAACACTTTGGCACAAACAGTAAATCTTCGTGTGGTTTCCATAAAGTGCTTTCCTGACCTTGTGACAAGGCCAGTCTCCATCATACTAATATTACTAGACTTCCATACATGACCTTAACTGCAAAGGCAATAATTGTAAACTGCCAAATACAAATAAACACAGAAACACAAACAGGTAAATCAGACTGACAACAAAACAATGACAGTATATTATAATGACTATTATAATGACTGAAAAAAATATAGTTGTGTTTTAATGTTTAATGTGGTGGATATATATATATATATATATATATATATATATATATATATATATATATATATATATATATATATATATATATATATATATATATATATATATATATATATATATATATATATATATATATTATAGTGTGTGTGTGTGTGTGTGTGTAATCAATATAGGCTTAAAAGCAAATTAACTAGATAGTGCATACAGTATTTAAGACAAAGTCAGCCAATCTTAGTAATTGTATAAGTGGAGCAAATAATTTTTAGTCAGAGAGCTGATAGCATCAGAGTAAATTCTCATTATATGAAAACTGAAAGTGGATCCCGTGAGGGCAGTGAGTTTACAGTACAGTGTATATTCAATCTTTCAGTACACAAGAAGGCAGCATGGCCAGTACTACACTCAGGTACCTACTCTTACACAGGTGAACTTAGGGGTGTCCTGGACGCCGCCCAGCAACCCTCAAGATAGGAGAGCTATATTCACTACTCCCACACCCCATTCACATATACCCAGCACCTAGCTGACACTGAAGATACAGAATCTATGGTACACAAAGTTATGACCTTGCACTGTAGGCAATTAGATCAGAACAAATAAATTACACAGTTAACTCCAGAGGTTCCTAGTTTTCAGTGTCTGATGGATTACCGCACTCTGTCACCAAGTCCTTAAGATGAGAATTGAATCATTGGAACCAAGACGTAAAGAAGTTTTATAATTTGGTGCCTTAAGCTGTTAGAAACGCTGAGGGCCCCTGCTTTAGTAACCTAGGTCACCCATAAATACTGTCATGTAAAACTGATGGTAATTGCTATTGGCGAACTCGTTAATCCTCTTTAAGAGATATTTTCTATCTGGTAAAAGAATAAGGACCCTTCTGGTAGCATCAGTGCACACTATTTACACGTAACAGATCTTCGTTTTAACGGCATCACTGTTGCCTATTTTAAATAACATAGACCCTCGTTCTGGTGGCACCATTGGGGTTGGATTCGATCGGCCCTGACGCCTCTCGTGACCATTCGCTGGCGATGGTGGATTAGGCGGATCTCTGCGGATTCCCAGTTTGTAAGAGGATTGGTCCACAGGCGCTCAGCCAGTGCCGACCCGCGAGGCCACAGCTGAAATAGATATTGGAGTGAACGCATACCGTACCTGCAATGAAACTTTAACTCTTATGTATTTAATATCACCTAACTATTTCTTTAATTTGTTCCAAAATAACTCACCTGCCTTAACACAAAATCTAAAATCAAGCTCCAAATTACTTTAAACAAGATGGTGAGATTTATTCTTGATATGAAACCATTTGTAAACCTGAATGACGATTTTACTGAATATATATATAATTATTAATATTATAATTACTATTATTATTAGTAGTAGTAATCGTATTCTTACCTTCGCATCTAGAGATCCTACGTCGACTGACTCACTCCAAAGAGGTGCCTCGGCTCCTAGGACAAGGTTCCTCTGCGGCGATCCCGTAAAGTGTGTCGCTATTTTATCAGGACTGTTGTCATACACTGTTTGCCAGGGATTATACGGGCCACACCAGCTCTCACCACTGCGATACGTGTCCGCATTTCCACAATCCAAATAAAGGGAGTCGTAGTTGCTTAATATGATTCGGTAGCCTTTATTCAGGAGGTTACCGATCGTCGGGTCATCAGCTGTGGTCCAGACTTGGATGATGTATTGCTGAGGGTCCAGGTACTTGAGAATATTTTCATCTGTAAGGGAAGAAGTCCACACGATGCCTGGGATGTTCTTACCCCCGTTGGCCGAAGTCAGAAGCTTTAACGCTTTTCTCTGGAAGTCAGCCCACATATCATGGAAGGTTTGGAGGTCTCGCGAAAGGCCATTCTCCTCCATGTAGGCCACGAACTCCTCTGTCGTGTTCCAGCAGTTGATTTTAACCTGGGGAGAAGTATCTATCAAGGCGGTGAACAGAAATGGGAGTGATATGAGGCAGAAAACATAGGGTGTAATAATGTACAGTGCGTCACGTTCCCAAAGGAAGGTATTACTATTAAGAGTGTCTAACAATTAAAACAAAGTTCAAGCATCCTAAAAAAGGGTGCAGCAAACTACAGGAAAAGACAGTTCTTTACTCAAGACAAACAACACGTCGCAACACAAAAGCAGCATCGAGGTGTATAAATGGTAGTCAGGGTTAAACAAACTGATATAACACAGGTACTTAAACTATCTAATTAGGAGCTAACTCGTAGCGATGGTTTTAAATCAGACAAATTTAGATTTAAGCGTGAGAGAGGTAAACACTGGTTTGGAAACAGAGTAGTGGATGAGCGGAACAAGTTACCAAACACTGGGGAGGTGCCCGGGGCGCTAACCAGCGACCCTTGAAATATCAAGTGAGGTCTGTATCAAATTGATAACAATTGGATATTATTGAGCAAAAAATTGAGAGACAATCTGACCCCTTGAGTACTGAAAAGTAGTTAAATAGTTAGACAGAACATATTTCCCAGTCGAATGTGACAATTTTACCTTGAGTGTGATAATTTAATGCATGATAGCATACACCATTCTGCAAGCATCGCGGCAAGTTGGCAATGGTAGGAAGCGATGCTGGCAAGAAGCGTTAGGTTTGAGTTTGATGTGACTTACTTCGTCTCCTCCGAAGTGGAACATGTCGAGAGGACTGAAGAGGTCGACCATTTCCTTGTAGATCTGCCCCAAGACTAAGTATGTGTTGTTGTTGACGATATTGAGCTGGCCACAAGGTCGTCCCCAGCAGTACAGTTTCCATGGTTGCTGTAAAGACACACCAGTTATGAGATACTCGACGGCGGCGGGAAAATTTTCTACTTTATAATTAGTAATTTATCTTTGTCCAGGTTGTTGCAAACACTACATGTCCTCTTAAGATTTTTACGTACGAGGAATAAGCATTCGCTACCATATCTAATGTTAAGTGCATTAGCTTAGCATGAAGAGGGAGAAGATAGGTGTATGTTCTCAGTAAGGCTCATCCATATTATATCTTATACTGTTTGTCCCTGGTCAGTTTCCTAGCTGATCGGGCTGTTCTCGTGTGTTGGCTGTATCATTACTATGTTTTTCTAGTACTGAACTTGGTAGCGTGAGTTTTGTCAGGTAAGTGTAAGCTTGCTGAATACGATGCTAACAATATTAAGTTAAGAACCTTGTCGAGACAGAGGACTAGTTCACCTAGTCCATATTTCTTGGTCCACTGCCACCCGTTGCCAACATGAGCTGGAGCGTCAAACTCCGGCAGCACACGGACGCCCCGCACCCGACCGTACTCTACCAGGTGCCTGATGTCGGCTGGGTAGTACACCTTACGGGAGGAGTAGGCGCCGTAGTAGGCCATGTTGGGTAGACTCTCCAGGTAGAGAGGGAAGGTCTGGGTGTCGGTGATGTGCCAGTGGAATGTGTTGAGTTTGTTGGCTGCCATGGTGTCTAGTGTCCTCTCGATAGCTTTCACCGGGAAGAAGTTGCGGGACGTGTCTAGTAGTATCCCGCGGTACTTGAACACAGGGGAGTCGCTGATGGCCGCCGTCGACAATATCTGTTTACACATAATAAGATCAACTGTCATAAAGAAGAGGTAATTACTATGAATGCAGATTACATAAAATTCAAAATCTGTACTTGAGTTTTTTCAGCTTCCTACTTTATTAAAACGTATATAAAAAGTCACAATACATATATACCTGTATATAGGCACCATATTATGTTATAATCACCTCTTATGACAGATAAATTGCTTAGCGGACACTACTTATGAACGTATCTTACCGACAATGAGAAGTCTACCTGTACCATGCAGGGCCGGGTTCAAAAGCCTTCTACTTGGAGCCATAAGAATATATCTCGCCGACTTACTTAAACTACAATACAGGGATGGCGGCCAAAATTTCTTTGAAATTGCACTGAACTTATAATGCATCTACTGCCCTTTATATTCGGTAACAGTACACTGGAAAAAACGATGACATGAATTTTTTAGAACTGGAGTCTTGGTACCCACTTGGAGGGCGCCTGTGGCTTCGTCGTACTCGATCAGCTGAGAGAGGGTCTCGAGGGCGTGGCGAGCGCCGAAGAAGTTAGAGGCCAGGATAGTGGCGTTGGTGTGAGGGCCAAGGGTGGTGACGCCTAGGGTGTAAGCCTCGGAGGTTTCCAGGGAGAGTCTGGTGGCTCTCTCAGTCACCGTCACCTCCACCATCACCCGATGAATCCTCGTCTGTCGTTGGTGTGTCCAGTTAGGTCATATTTTTGCACAGTAAGTGAAATAAGTTAATTCAACCAAGAATCTCTCACTTGCTTGTCACAATTAATTATATAGCTTTATATGTTATATGGGACTCCCAGTGGGATCACTATGTGGGCGATGTGTGTTTACAAACGAAGAATTTCCTTCGTATTTTGTTTATATCATAGATGTGTATCGAATTTAACCCACATAAAGCTAACCACTTCAGTGTCATCAAGGATTGACATAAGTGTTAGGTTACTGGCGAAATAATCATAAAATAATTATTTCATACACGTTTAATCATTCTTTTATTTTAACTAAAGGTTTCGCAAAAACGTGTCATTTCATTAGTATAGAACACAGTTATCTGCAATTTGTATTTTGTCTACTTTAATTTTTATTGATTTATTTATCTTTGAAATTTGTTATTTATAATTTTTTATTTTGTTTCAAAAATCATTCAGCCAGTACCTTCTTTCTAAATGGTCCCATGAGAAGAGGTCGGCCTCCTTCTTCTGGTAGGTTCTTAGCCACGTGGTCTTTAAAGATATGAAAAGCCTTCTTGATCAGCTGCTTAATCTCGTCGTTAGGAGCTGTCACTCCTTGCAGCGTCAGCGACTCCAGCAGGAAGTGTACCGTCTAAGGGTATATAGAGATTTAGTCAAGACCCGTTAGAACAAATATTGACAAAAATAAATAGACTAGGAAAAAAAATGGGGGGGAGTGTATAGACTCGGACATGGTTGAAATACCTAATATAACTGACCCATCATCCCGTATCTTTACGTGTAGGGAAGTAAATTATTGAAGTCCCTTGGGGATGGTTGTGTTTTACATTGCAATAGAAAATATTAATTCACACTGAATATACTCGCATTAAGATTACAGACATTGAAAAGTGTTTGTTCAATAATGCGAACAGGTGACGTGCCCGAACTCCCAAAAACATTGACCACAACTGCCATCACCAACAACCCCACTAACAACCATTCCTCCATCAAGAACCCTCGCCACCAAACACACACTTCAACCTCGCCTCCACCAAGTACTGACCTGGTCCCCGAGTTGCAAGATGCCTGTAGGTCGTGGCCACAAGACGCCGTCCCGGGCACAGGTAAGTTTGCAGGTACTAAGGTGAGGCAGGGTCTGGAGGCCGTCATTCTCCTCCTTCACACACGTCTCGTTCACGCACCGCCACCCCCACGGACTCGCTACCCTGGTTTGGTCAAAATGCTTAGCTGGAGGAGGAAGTCACGCCCAGTACTACGTATCATTATCATATACCACACAATATTTATATCCCCATTACCACACAACACAGTAATTCCCCCCCCAAAAAGTATGGTTTATGTTAGATAGTCTATGTTTGTAATACCAAGATTACATTGAAAGGTTTGTACTGTACATCGGTGTTTTACCTTTAATTATGAGATAAAGCAAAATTATTTTATAGTAGAAATTTCTTGCACTTTCGACATCATGTAAGTCACGATTTTTATTTTGTTATGGCGGAAGTGAACCAAGCATTAGTCATCGAGAATCTGAGGGTCAGGTGACAGTAGTCGGGGTTTTGTCGTACCTGAAAGTGGCGCTGAAGGGAACAGAGACCAGTAGGAGGCAGGGAAGAAGCATCACCCACCTCAGTCTCAGCATCCCTCCTGGAAACATGGTGTTGTCTGGAAAGAGAACAACAAATACAGTATTGATGATATGGCTTATGTAAAATAAATTAATACATAGTTAAGAAGTTGCCCGATGATTAGTGAGTACTGTACAGTAGATGTCTAGCAACCGGGTGGCTAAATTACTGGATTACTGCATATTTAATACAGGTTAAGTTAGGATATGCATGAATTTATTAATTTATATGCAATATGATTATACGTGATCTCTTATGGTCAGTCAGAAGTCTCAAAAAGCAAACCACAAAAAAATATTGACGTTAATGCTAATCGGCAATTACCTCTTTTTAGTGTCATACAGTATAGTGTTTACATCAATATACTAGATAGAGAAAATAATAATAATAAAGTTCTGTATTTGCATGGGAAGGTCAATTATTTACTCCAGTAATCTCTCTGAAATAACCTTCACCTTTTCAACATTTTTCTTTCAGTATTCACTCGCCCTGCAAAGTCCTGTTGGACACCACAGTATAAAGGTCGGGTGTCAGCCTGTACCCAGTAAAACAATTGTGATGTTAAACGAATTCCCCTAAAAAATGTTGACGCTCGATTAAAGTCCAGTTGCACAATACTTCACACTTTTAATGCAGGAAGAATAATCCGGATGACGTGAGGATTCGACGCCCCCAATTTATTTTATCTCATTATTATTAAACATCCTAGCGCTACCCAATATTTTATTTGCTTGATTTACCTTCTTCTAGCAATGGCCCGAGAACTTCAGCTCATTGTCAACATACACACCTAGGTCCTTTTCACATTCAGTTTCTTCATCCAGTTGGGACATATGATACGCCTCCTTACCGTTGGTACGCCCCAGGTGCATCCTCTTACACTTCGTGACATGAATCTCAGCAGCCATTTCTTCGACCATTCTTGGAGCTCACAGAGATCCTTCTGCAGCTCACTTCTCTTATCATCCACTCCTGAATTAAACGCTCTTTTAAACTTGTCGTCCCTCATTCTCCCAGTGTTGCCCAGACCATGTTAGTAAACAGTGATCGACCCCTGACCAACTCCTTTCACTTCCACTTTCATATTTTTTTGCATCGTCTTCATCCCAGCTTTTACTCTCCACCACAACAGTACCGTCGCTTCAACGCTTATTGTTTTCCTCTTTATAAAGGAAGAAGTTAGAGGCGATGTAAATAACTCACATCACATCCGTGCAGAATTGTTGGTTAAGCTATTCCCCTGTTTATCCCTTCCAGGGCCTTTTAAAGCAGTTCTCTCAGTGTGCGTCTTACATACTAAACCTCGGCTACTCTTGATTTAATTTTGTACGTAAGTGTTCTTCCAGTCGGTGACACATCCACTCCCTGAAGCATCTTACTCGATACCTTCTGTGTTTCCTTTCACACTAGCGTTGATAATTAATCACCATATTTCCCTTATTTACGTCACTTAACTTACATTCACTATTAACTTTCTCCTTCTCCACTGTCTTCTAAATCCAGGTGTTTACGTCACATAACCATCAATCAATTTGTTCTCCATCAATATTGTTTTTATCTCTCCTACTACCCCAGCCATAAAAACTGAACAAGCAAAGTGACAGTAAACACACTAGTTGTCTTCTCACTTTTACTAGGGACCAGTTTCCTCATCTCCGACACAAAACACCCTTGACACCTGCTTCAACGTTTTCCTGTTTGTCTAAAAAATAAATGAAATGAAATAAAAAAAAATCCCGCATTGTTCTCTACCTTCTCCTTGTGTTATTTGTTTTTATATATTTAATTATCCTCTCTTTGTAAACCCATGAACCTCTTCTTCTCATAAAACATACTCGTATACTGTACATTATATGGATCACAGTGCATTCATTTATGACTCCACACACACACACACACACACACACTGCCTTCCCTCTGATACTTTCTCTTACCTTTGCCATTTTTCACCTCTACTCTCCCCCACCCGTTCCCTTACTCTCTCCTTCCACCCTTGACATCATTAAGGTGATTCCATATACTCACTTGATCCCTTAACATTTTCTATGCTTCTTTATTCTCTTATTTCTTTTATTCCTATTTTGTTTATCCTCTTTGCACTTTTCCTCCTTCTCATTACCACACAGGATAAGTCAACTCCACCCTTCTCGTTTTTACATTCACTAACTTTTTTTAAACATTCTTCTTCCCTCGCTTCGTAACCTAACCTAACCTGACCTCGCTTTCATTTTAAAATTATTTCCATTTGTTCTTTCGACTCTCTCATCCTATCCCCTTCATTCCACTACACCTCCTTGACCTCTTTAAAACTTTGTGTCAGTTTTTCTCTCCAACTTTCATCTGTTTCTTGTCTTTTAATCATTTTCCTTTAAAATTTTCATTCTCATTCACTTTCTTCAACTAGACGGCTTTTAAAATAACATTCACTTTCCTCAGCTCGACAACTTTTATAATATAATTTCCTCATTCACTTTAGCCTTGATCATTCTGTTTACTATTATTCTTACTAGCATTATATTCTGGTCGGACATTGCAAAATATAAATTCTCTCAGCTGGTTCACATCACTCTTGTCTTTACCTACCTAGCTTTTTATATCCACCCACCAGCACGATCTGAGAACCCGTTATGTCCTTCACTGCCTTTGTTATCATCTATGCTTATCCATTCCTACCTCTGTAAACCATGTAGTGTAGTTCTTATTCATCCTCTCTCACATTTATTAATTACCACTCACGTCCTTGTCACGCGTTTAAATCTCCCGTTACTATGACAATCTGTCGGAATGAAAGGTTCTTGTGTAGTTATTCAGATCTTTCAAAACAATTTCCTCTCTTGCTCCATATTTCATTCCTTTATGCACTCAATATTAACCCAACTCTTATATCCATTTTCAGTGATCCACAATATTCTGGAGCTGATCCCTTTATTTTCTAACTTACGTCCCTACACTTCATCAATCACCAGCAACGTTACACCCTCTTTTGCATCTAACCTCCTCAAATCCCCTTGGCTTGAAGCCCCTTACATGTCCCCAACTTTTTTTTCGCTTAATGTCAGGATATCCAGGACCTCTTCAATTTTCCGAACTCCAAACACTGTTTTCAGATCTTTCTAATGATATTCTTGCACACTAAGACATTCATTTTTACTCAAAAGGGGAGGGTGGGGTACTAGTCCCATGTTTCTGTTATAAGTTTCCCCATGAGTGTGTCAACAACGAAATCAACATCCGGTACACGTGGTCTCTCTCCCCGACCTTTTCCACGCCCCCTTCCCCACCACCTACCGCTCAGACTCTGATTCCGTTGTTCTTCTGCTCTTTTGTTATTGTTAGACTTTGTCCTGTTATTATTATTATTATTATTATATATATATATATATATATATATATATATATATATATATATATATATATATATATATATATATATATCATACTTGTGTTCACTTATCATCCGTTAGATATTTATCTCACGTGTTGAGACATCAGCTCCGCTTATTGAGAGGAGGCGAGATAACAGACTCATGGCCTCGGACAGATTTACTGTAAATTCTGTTGAAAATAAAAATCTGTCAAAATTACGCCAAAATCCAGTGCGCTGGAGCGTTTTCCTTATCATCTGGTTACACTTATGTACAGTATTGACGTTCGCAAAACCGTGAGATGGCGTTCTGATAACGTCAAGAATAATGGGAAGAAAAAATGGTCATGTATAATACAACCGGTCATCCTTGTGTGAATACTTTCATTTACCGGGCTGTTTTTTCTTTATATATGAAGAAAAATTCATACCGGTGTGTCTTGGTCTATCATGAGACAGGCTGGAAGATATTCGAGAGGAATAGAGTAGGGGTTGTGATGTGATGCACTATATTAGGAAAGTACAAGGACAAGTTGCACAACAATGACTAAGAATTCAGGTGAGGTGACGTTGCCGGTTCTGCTATATTGAGCAACAATATTGATGTTTGGTATCAATCAATCGGAGTAGTGTCATAACTGAGGGTTGGCGACCACAGTCCTCCGCTCTAAACGTTCATATTAACAGCAAGAATGGTGGACATCAACTGAGACGCGACTTTAATAATAAATTAAGATATAAGGAACAAACTTAGACAGCGACCATGCAGTCAGTCGGTGAACAAAAAAGGAAGGTTTGACTTAAATGCGTGATATTAGAGGCCCCAGCACCAGCAGGGTACCGAGGTGAGGTTGGAGGTGCATGGGAAGAGACCCCTGGAAAGACGAATTTTGTTCAATATATAGAAATAAAAACATATGTATTCCTATATGGCAAAAACGTCAGTTACGCTTTAAGGATTAATCGGACGATTATTCTCAATTCTTATATTTTCATAAAATAAGATGAAAATAGAAAAGCAAATTAACTACACTGAGCTTAATACATCTTTTAACCCAAAATACGCACCATACATCTGAACATAGACATTTAGAGTTAAAAAAATCGCTTTGGCCAAGAGTATAATCACAAACAGTAAACAAAGTAACAGCCAAGAAATACAGAATTTTTGGTGATGTAGATGGGTGTCCTTGTTAATACTGATTGTCATCCTAGTTGTATGTTTAGTGCTAGGCAGGCAGGGGTGTAGCTCTGCTGGAATGGCAACTTTCATCTCTTGCAGGTAGCCTAAGCCCACAAGTTTCTCTTTTCTCAAGTCGTCCAGTCATATAACTTACCTGTACTTACTCCTGACAAAGATATAAATTTATCTGTATTAGGTAAAAGTTTATCTTGCACCGATTCTATTGTTGCGGATGACAACCAAGTCTTGTATTACACTCACTAGCCAACACAGCACAGTGTAGTAGTTGTGAATGTGCCTGCAGATATTAGTAAAGCTAACTCATAGCGGCGTAATAGTGAAGATACTTGACATTTCCATCTTAAATCGATAAGGTTTCACTTGGGGAAAATGTTCAACATTTGCGTTAACGCACAGACACTCATATCTGCCTTACGAATATGTTCAAGAAATTTTGTTTGCAACTAGCGTCACTGTATTTTCTATTTCCTTTTTAAAGAGATAAATTTCACTTGGAAATCGTGACCGTGGCGGCAACGCCTCCCTCCCTCACCTCCCGTGGACGTGTGTGGAGGGGGGGGGGAGGCCAGGGGGCGTGTTAGCCAGGAGTGGTAAGGGTCGCCTTTGCCCTCCGACCCGGGAGCACTGCTTAAGTCCTCGTTAACACACGTTTACCGCCTTCCCTCTGCCTTCTGTGAATTTTGGTCACATTGACACCGAGCCATGTGGGAAATTAACTTACTGGGTTATCAGATAACTAACACTGTCCCTTTCACAAGCGCTTCCAGCGTAACCTTTGAGAATTTAAACACCATAGTATCTACTACACGAATCACACAAATTACACCACTTCTCCCGTTCACACAGTAAACAAACTAGGAATACAATGTGAATAGAGCCTCGAGTGTATGCGTGCAGGGAGGGTAAGAGGAGTGCTCACCGTTAGCGTGCTCAGAAGGGACTGAACTGAGCCTCCACATCGAGTGTCACATCACCCCACACCACTTTCTCCTCCTGTCGAAACTCACGTCTTGGTTCAAACTTGCCTTAATATTAACCTCCTCTTATATTTTGTGCTCTAACCTTACTTTTTATTTTTTACTTCATTCGTCATGACCTTTAAGGATTTACTGTACGACCCGTGATCAAGTGTGTGTGTGTGTGTGTGTGTGTGTGTGGGGCGACCTTCAGAGCACGCCCCAGACTCATAAGGCTTGACCCAATCATCCCATACCGTTCCAAGAGTTCACAACTCTCACTCCGAAAAAGTTTGCCCTCACAGTTTTCTGGACCTCGTCAGAAACGGTCATCCCAACGATTATGATTAAACTCATTTAGAAATACATCATTACTCAGGACAAAATCGGACAGGTTTGCAACAGCCAATCAGCTGTAACTCTTGAGGAGGGGTGTGCCATTTTTTCTCAGCTGTTTCGTTGCCTGATTCACCTTCGCACAATAGCCCGAGAACTTAAGTTCATTGTCGACATACAGTGAACTGAAGTTCACTGTGTACATATTTTGAAAACTTATTTTAAAATCATGACTGGTAGTGAAGAAAACACCGGTGAGCCTGACCAGCATAATATGCAAAGTACTTGAGAGTATTATCAGAGATGCCGCAATGGAACATCTAATACGAAACAACCTTGTAAAGGATTGCCAACACGGTTTTATGCCGGGGCGCTCCTGCTTAACAAGGTATTGGATATTTGGACCCATATTCTGGAACGGGGTGGTAATATCGACAATATTTCCCTGGATTTTCCCAAGGCTTTTGACAGTGTACCCCATGAAAGGCTGAAAATCAAACTGGAAGGGTACGGAATTCGGGGAAATGTCCTAGCGTGGATAGAAGACTTTCTACATGACCGCAAGCAGTGTGTGGTGATTAATGGCGCGAAATCGTCATTCGTACCTGTCACAAGTGGGGCACCACAGGGCAGTGTATTGGGCCCGCTGTTTTTTGTTTGTTTCATAAATGACATGCCTGACGTTGTACACTCCTCCATACAAATGTTTGTCGATGACGCCAAGTTATTTCGGGAAATTAAGAACCAAGCGGACTTTGAAGAGCTGCAGAAGGACCTCTGTGGGCTCCAGGAATGGTCGAAGAAATGGCTGCTGAGATTCAATATCACGAAGTGTAAGATGATGCACCTGGGGCGTACCAACGGTAAGGAGGCGTATCATGTCCCAACGGGATGAAGGAACTGCATTAGTTGAGACTGAATGTGAGAAGGACCTAGGTGTGTATGTTGACAATGAGCTGAAGTTCTCGGGCCATTGCGAGTGAAGTGAAGTGAAGTGCTTCCCCATCTGGAGTACTGTCACCCCGTCTGGTCCCCGAGATATGCTAGGGACTGTCAGTTGGTTGAAAATGTTCAAAGGAGGGCCACCAGACTGGTGCCTGCACTTCGGCACCTCAGCAACCCTGAGAGATTGGAGTGCCTGAACTTGCCTAGCTTATACTACAGACGGGCAAGGGGGGATCTAGTTGAGGTGTATAAGCATCTCAGGGGGCACTACTCAGTCGAGTGTCCTTACTTGGAGCTGGCGGACGCTCGCCCCACAAGGGGTCACAGCTCAAGATTGAAGAAGCCGCAAGTCCAGAAATCTGTGAGAACAAACTTTTTCGGAGTGAGGGTTGTAAACTCTTGGAACAATCTACCAGAGAGTGTTGTGACGGCACCGAGTGTGAGCTCTTTCAAGACAAGACTTGACCAACACAGGAGTGGGTTCAAGTACATTCAGGAGCCAGTGCATGCCCAGTATTTGCCAACAGTGCGTGACAGAGACGTGACCGATCGCCCGGGCGGCTTGCGAGCCGATCTTTTGGTGAAGAAGATAAATGAAAAGGAAAAGTAATCAGAGACGTGACCGATCGCCCAAGCGGCTAACGAGCCGATCAGTGGCGAAGAGGATAAAACAACATAAAATGACATTACGAAGGTTAACATCCACACTTCAGGATGCAGGCCGTCCTGTGACATTCCTATGGATACCCAGTCATGTCGGTATCTTGGGGAATGAGGCAGCAGATGGCCTTGCCAAGACTGGCTGCAACAAGGCCACACCTGACTACGTTGTTCCTCGAACACTTTTACAGCTTAGGACCCAAATTCGCCGCAAACAGAGAGAAGCTCGGGAAGCAGCCGTCCCCCTGGACTCCCCGCCCACCTGGTACGACGTCCTCCGTAAACTTCCTGACCTCTCGTACGTCTATGGGAAAGGGTCGCGGAAAGGGGACGTGATTGCTGCCCGTATCATCATTGGGTATGACTTTGCTTGGGAGATTGGTATCCCCGCATCCCCTGAGCAACGCTCTCGTGCATTATGCAGAAGACCCGACAGCAGCACCCTTATCCACTACCCCCTAAGATGTCCCCACACACAACGCTTCCGTGACGCCTGCTGGACCACCACTCCACGACCCCCTGAAGGAGACACGATGATCCTCCCCATACTGGCCAGATATTATGTAAATAACATTGATTATGTGTTAAAGGAATATCCTTCCTTCCTTAGGCTTTAGTAAGCCCCTTTATAATATTTATACTGTATATACTTGTCACACTTGCCAGATGCTTCTGGTGTCATTGTACAGGGGTACCTAGTGACAGCACTAGGATCCCGCTTCCTCTATCAAGGAATAAATAATTGAAATTGAATTGAAATTGAATAGAATGACAGATTTAGCTGATATATCCCTGCGGACATTTGTGTTGATGTAAAACAATACTGTTTTTTAGTTTAACAAATTTGTTGACAAAAAGTTTGGAGTACAGTTTGCCTATTCTGAGTAATTCAGTCAGGTCTTGACACTGAGAGTGGTGTCACTTCTCACTGCCACGCAGGACAGAGGTTCATACTTCATACAAAAAGACATGTGGGTGATGTCACTGTTCACTGCCAATACTGGGTTTCAGCAACTATACAGTATAGTCTACGCGCGTATTCTTGGATAGTAAACACACAAGCCATCAACAACTTAAAACTATGCACCTGTAGGGGTCAGGATAGAGGAAAGAATCCATACGCATACATTATATATCCTAATTATTCAAATTTTTACAATTGATAATTATTCAACATCATAACAGCTTTCTTGAGCTATCTTTGGTTGAATCAACTAATGTTTATGTAAATGCTGAATCAATTCGAAATTTAAAGACGATTTTTACTGCATAAATATCGATCGTCTTCTATCAACAAGTTTCATAATTTGAAATTGTTTTAACAATTTACACAACTGTACCTAACCTTGGTTTGACTTCAACTATATTAAGATTTATGGTACGAAACTCTTTTTAGAAATGTATTTTGTAATTTTATAGATTTTTTACTCATATTCCTTTTTATATAATGAGGGGATGTATTCAACAAGTTACATAATTATTTGAGGTTTATATAACCGGCTGCGCCTGTATCACCTCTCGCTTGACTCGCTCATCACTCCAGGCCAACCTCTCGTAAACATGGCTAGTGTTGTGGGTGCCAAAGTGCTTTCTTCGGGCACTTTCGGCAATGTTTGCCGCGTACTTGCTGTGAGTACCTTTTGTATGATAGCAGTGCATTTATCAATAATAGTTTATTAGGAACAGAAGCAAAGAAACGTCGTATTTAGTGTTGGTGAGAGGTGAGTTTGCGATCAGCTGTTTGTGGGACTGACGCAACATAAGTAATATTAAAACATAATATCAAGTACCAGTAGTAACTATAGGGATTTGCTACTGTATAGTAAGAAAGAGAACACCCATTTTGTAAAAATACCACAATGACTGAGGAGTATTTTTATTAATGGCCTTGAGAAGTGAGAGGATTGCCTTGGTTATTAGCTATTTTTAATGGTATCTTGACTGATAAATTGTATAATGAGTTACACTAACAACAGTGGTCTGGGTTAATCAGCTTCCTGACGAAAAACCAATTAAAAGGAAAGTCAATCTTTTTATAACGGGAGTAAAATCCTGGCTCCTTTGCTTACATTCGACAATATATTTAGGTAATGTCTGAGAACAGCACTACCACCAGAAGTTGTTTGATTTTGTTCATTTGTTCCACAGATGTTCATATGGTATTATTGTTTCGGTCCTGCAGCGAATTTAGGTTAGGTTACAAAATTATAATTTTACCGTTCTTATTTATTTAAAGTATTTTATTTATTTTTTTCATTTATCTACGATCTTAGATCACTTATAGTGAGCAGGGCATAAAGGAGGAGGGAAATTGCAGGGTAACTCATGGTCATAAACCGATCATACGACTAAAATGATGTCTACGTGCTTTGTACGTGAAAAAAAATAATTATTTACTGTAAATACTCCTCTGAAAATCTGCTGAGTCAGTACATCTGCCAAGTTTGTTTACAACTGACCTGCTCAATCCAAACGTACTCTCACGTCCCAAAAAAAATTAAAATTACGCCATGACACTTCAACAAAGTTGTTTTCATTGGTACCAGGTATCAAAATAGTACTTTCTGATTAATATAATAGGGGGGCCCTGCCCCCCTGGATAGGAAGTTAGGTTAGGTCGGTTTCTTTGGTTGGTTAGGTCACATTCTATTAGCTTCTAATAAATGTTGCCTCTTTTAAAATACTTACTACAATATAATGATAAGAATATGTGGAAAAAATAATTAAATCAAACACCTTTTGATGATAGTGCTGTTCTCAGACATTACCATAAAATAGGCAATGATTGATAACTGCACCCTTAACACCTAATCGAGGAAATTTCTGCTCAGGAAAAGGTAATTACTCTGCAAACACTAGCAAATGATTGATGCATGGAAAACAATTGTTTAAATGAAGTTTTTCATGTTGCATGCAGTGGTGATAATGTAAGTTTGGGGAAATGCATAATTATTGAGTTATGATCCCTCCTGCCACATCACTTTCGATCTCACCAGAGCTTTGAAGCAGAGGAAACATAACTAAAAGAACCTAACCTAATCTGGTTATCGTATTCACCCACTGGGTAATTATTTAGCAAACAATGGCACACGGTTTAGGCTCATTTGCGTGTGTTTGTGGACTATTAGCTGAGGCTTTCTTACCTCATGAAAATGACAAAAAGTGAAAAAGAAATAATATTTGCTTTATGTAACATTTATGAGTATTTACATCCTGGAGTCAAGGGCGACAAGTTTCTCCGTGTTTGCCATGTTGGTTTCTTGTTCAAACTTTTAGAAAGGATTAATGTTTTGATTTTAGAAGATTAAAATTACAAAATACAATACAGGGGTCCCAGTAATTCTTGAAATTAAAATTCACGTCCTTAAATTCACAGGTACAATACCTCTTTACTACCTCTTTAAGTTTTTCGGTGAAATATTCCAAATTCGCAGCCGAGCAAATGTAATATAAACTATAAACTTAGAAAAGTGTAAAATGGCTGGAATGGAAAATTTTTCTCCCTCTCCTCTCAAAGTGCTACAACAGCCTCCCCCGATACTTTTGACCTCTTTATAACGACAGTGTGCAATTTCACCATAATTCCCGTATTATTTAGGTTTATTTGATGTTCGGTTAATAAACATTATCATAAAAATAATCCCACACTCAACCCCAGATGAGTTATCGAGTCATATTAAATTAATAGTGCTTTGTTTACATAGGCAAACAGCTGACCAGTCAGCCAACCCTGGCACCTGCCTGTCTTCATGTTGAAAATTTAATACAACATTGTGTATATTCATACATTTCTTCCATTGTATCATTCATACAATGGTAATATTATAAAGTAAATATTTGAATAATAACAGTATATGGTATCCTTCATGTTATTGTTCTTATGACAGGTGCGCTCCCAGAGCACAGCAGCTGCTGCTGAACCACAACAAGTGCCAGAGAAGAGGTTAAAGAAATTTTCTGTCTATCGCTGGGATCCTGAGAAGCAGGGAGACAAACCCCATATGCAAACATATGAGGTGGACCTGAATACGTGAGTGCCTCTCCCAGCTTGTACAGTAGTGTGGAACATTACACTGTACAGTACATAGAATATTTCAGTTCATATTTATTCTTTTAATATAACTTCTGACTGTATTCTTTAATTTTCAGGTGTGGTCCTATGGTTCTTGATGCTTTACTGAAAGTCAAGAATGAAATTGATCCTTCCCTGACCTTCAGAAGGTCATGCCGAGAAGGTATCTGTGGGTCATGCTCCATGAACATTGGTGGAGTCAATACTCTGGCATGCATCAGGTAAGAGAATCAAGGTGTCCAGTTCTGAAAAATAAATTTTTACCTTGTACAGTATTTGGATTAAAGTTAAATTATAATTCTCAGAAAATTTGGTTTTACCTAATTTGGGGTTCTGGCAACATTTTATTACTGTATATTGTTTTATTTGTGTAATTCTATGCTGTCTTACCAAGCTTTCAACATTTAGCGTTGCACATTGTGGATTACCAGGTTGCTATATCAGGAATGTGGAAAAACAGGCAGATTACCAAAGGTCTCTACTGAAAGTGGAAAAAAAATAGTTTTAGCCATAGTAAGAGTGAAAAGTTGATGCAATTAAGTGTTGGATAAGTATAATACAGTAAAAAATCAAAAGGTGCAGTGTGGAGTAATGATATTATGACATTGTGAAATTCAGGGAACCTCCCTTAAACTTGATTAGTTTGGGGGGAAGGTGGGTCTGGATTTCCAAGTGGTGATCCTCGGCAAGAAACAAAAGCATTTATGGTCATTGCAAGAATACTGTACCTGTTTACATCCCCAAGACTGAGGTGTAGCAAGTAAAGTGGCAGTTGGTTTGTGTATCAGTAGTGCTATTATGCTACGCACACGTTTTGGCCTTGCACCATTACCACTTACATGCACCAATGTGAGCCTCAATATTTTATATAGGTCATCACTTAACAAAAGACTGGTACAGGCATGGGGGAGCTGTGACCCACAAATGTGAGGCAACTTTTGACCTAATTTGTTATATTGAAAAAAAAATAGATTTTTCCAAGTAGGCACTGGAGACTGGTATGGAATAGCTTTACATGCACCATCATAAAAGATTACAGTTTAAAAATATTAATAAACTGAAATAAAGCAGAGAGAAACCCAAGACATTCTACTTCACAAACTGATTAAAGACTTCATCGTCATCTGCCAAACCAATGGCTCCTAGGAGTCGGCTAACAGTTGCCACAGATTAAATATAATACCAATTAATTGAGCACAGTATATTTATTAATGATCACAAAGTTTAACATTATCCTCTGTAAAAAAATACTATAGTGACAAAACAAGGGGTAAAAAATCAAACGGACCAGCACCAGTCTGCAGGCCACAGTTTGGGAGCCACTGCCATACATCATCTTAGTGTCATTATTTCTCCACTCTTTTGTAATACTCTTCTTGCATTTGACTTCATCATGTCTCAACATGAGCAGCCATCTTCTCAAGTAAAGCCTTAGTGTAATGTTCTCTAGGCTAAAAACCGCATATCATCCATGCATCACAACAAGCACAGAGTTGTCATTTTCCTTCAGAAGAAGTGAGAGGATGATACCTGCTATGACTGCAAGTGGGCCAAAGCATATAAGTTTGCCGACTCATATGGATGTATCTATCACAGCTCCCCATACTGTACGACAACAGACTCGATGCTCAAACAACAACATTCGATCCCAGAGATTACTGTGGAGACTCAATGTCTACTTACCCTTTATTGGATCACTGCAGCTGTCTCTATGGACTGGGAATTATAAATCTACTTTTCCAATCTTCCTCTGTGGGCATCATAAGTTAATGTCTGTAAGGTGCCTAGAATGTTCATCATGGGATGTGTTTTGTTTTTCAACATGCTGTTGGGTACGAGGAGTGTGTTTGCTGAATAAAATTGTCTGGCATTATTCAAATAAATTATTAAAAGTGACATCAAGGGGTTAAAATATATTGACATTAGACTTATCACAAAGTGTGGCAACTATTTAACCCTTAAAGCCTGGATTACATTCCTCAACATTCACTTCGACGACCCCGGGTGACGTTCCTCAACGTTCTTAATTTTCGCTGCGTATTTTGAATATCCAGTCAAGATGTAATACTTTGTATTGGATATTTGTTTAATTGGCAACGCAACTCACGTGTAATCTTTGTTTCGAGAATCGTGCCTCGTGGTCAGTTACCCGCCAACTATCGTGAGGAATGCACCTTCGACTTCTGTTCAGTGTAATTTATAGCTGCCATATTTATTGCTACAATTAACTATAAAATCCATACATGGCATATCATAAAATACAATAGCACATATTTTATGTACATAAAATAGCTCCTTCCACTCTCAAACCCTCCTCTGGGTGACGGACACAGTTCAGGCAGTCAACCAGCTGACCCGAAGACGTGTGGTCGGGAGGGACCACAGTCCCACAGTTATAGCCCAGTAACCCACCACCTCAACGCACACTCACTTCCCACATTTGCTCTTCATTTTTCTTATTTTATAGTTTTAAATTATATTTTACATATTTCTAAGCCACATTAGAGTACTTTATTACAGTAATGATTTTTTGACAACTTTTATAGTTTCATTACAAGTAACAATAAATGCAGTTTATATAGTGAAGTTTTTTTTTTTTTTTAATTGCGTCTTTTTTGGCCCAGACTTTAAGGGTTAATGGTGTAACATCTACTTTGCCAGTTGGCTCACCAGTCAGTTCTACCTCAGAAGCTGCAGAGTGGATGTGTGCTCTTCACCTCCATGTTCAGTCTGACCTGGAAATTCTGCATTTGAAGGGAGGGCATACTGTATATACTGTATAGTACATTATATTAACATGACTTTCAGCATATCATCATTTTTATTAATGTGAATCTTTCTTAAGTCATCCAAGACTTGAGATTCTGCAGATATTAGTTTACTTAAAATGAAAAGCTATACTTAAGAAATGAGATAAAATTTATTGCATTTTTACTACTTGTCATGATATAATTTTTTGTTTTCAGCAAGATTGACACAAACCTGAACAAAGTGACAAAGGTCTATCCTTTACCTCATATGTATGTGATTAAGGATCTGGTCCCTGACATGAATAACTTTTATGAGCAATATCGTTCCATCCAACCATGGTTGCAACGAGATGATGGCCTCAAACCTGGTGACAAGCAGTACTTACAGTCTGTTGATGATCGTAAGAAACTAGTGAGTAATGGCTTAATCGCTGTTTAACCTTTTGTTACTGACCATTAATTCATTTTTAAATTGAATTGTGTTGTGCAGAGACTGAGGTTTTCACCCTTTTTTGGTTTAGTAAAAGGGATTATTGTATAATGTTTGCTTTTTTTTTCCTCTCCTTAGGATGGTCTGTATGAGTGCATCCTCTGTGCCTGTTGCTCTACATCTTGTCCCTCTTACTGGTGGAATGGAGACAAGTACTTGGGACCCGCTGTCCTTATGCAGGCTTACCGCTGGATAATTGATTCCCGTGATGACAAATCAGAAGACCGACTGAAAAGACTACGTGACCCCTTCTCCGTTTACCGCTGTCATACCATCATGAACTGTACGAAGACCTGTCCCAAGGTCAGTATTAATAGTTGTTTAAAGTAAGACGATAATTTTGATGATACTGTATTTGGATTGTTTCATATAGCAAGCATTGCACATGATGTTCCTTTCTTTATATGGTTGAAATTTTTTATACCACTGATTAGCTTATTCAGATTTAATTGTTTAATTTGTTCTGTATTGAGTCAAGGACTGGTGGACCTCATCTGTGTAAGCATTGATCTAGTATTAAATCAAGCATTATCTCCACCTTAATTCACATTTTCATCTACAGAGGCAGAAGAGGTATGCTAGTCATGTGAAAAAATATCATTACAGTACATCAATAAGAGTGTTGTACTGTACTGTTCAGGGAGCCTACATTTAGTGCATTTTTTATGTACAGTGCTTTTTATTTTGAGAGTAAATAACCCAGACAGGAATTAGTTGGGTACTGTGTAACCCCCACCTCGCCATACACATTTAACCAGCGAAGTGACAGGAAGGGGGGGGGGTTGCATGTATGCCATGACGTCACATAGGGAGGGAGCGCGGTCACGCAGTTATAGCCTACTGACTCCACACTCTTCATTTTTATTATTTTTTACCTGTATTATTTCATACCTGTATTTTCTTTATTTCTAAGCTGGATTAGAGTATTGTAATGATTTTTCGACAACTTTTATAGTTTAATTACGTGTAACAATATACAAGCCACAAACAGCACTTCCAGACGTACGATACAGTCCATGTTACTGTAGAATACATGGTGTTGTAAGAAAATTATATAGCTATTTGTGAATAAATTAATGTAACTGTACTAATAGAATTTTTTTACAAATTATATGAAAATTATCATCCACATCATCGGCTAATTATTGATAGGAGTACGTATCTCAAATTGGCTATTTTTGTAAAAAAAAAAAAAAAAAAAGTTGTCCCTTTGTGTTGATAGTGTCCGACAAAAAAAAGGGGGACTGTGTTCACATTTTCAATACTTTTCAAGATTTTGAATGTTTTTATGAGGTACAGTAGTCTCCATGTTAGCCAGAATACCCTATCTCAGAACTCCAATTTATTCAAGATCATTATGGTACCAAATTCACCTCTTATCACTATTAGAACAGATGTGAATAAAAGTTTATAGTACACTTTTTCACTAGCTGTAAATATTTTTACTGGTTCCTGCAGTCTAAACATAATGGGAGATTGTTTGTCTAAGGGAGGTGAGATGTCACCCAAAATTGCAAGTTGAAAAATAACTTATATAACATATACAGTAGTTCACAAGTGGGGAATGGTAGAAATTTTCCCAGCTCAGTCCTGGAATTATTTACCCGGTAGTGCTCGTTTTAAATAATTCATTCGGAAACATAACCAGTTTTTGGAGTGGTCTGGATGCCAGGAAGTCAGATAAATGGTCCCATACCTTTAAATGCATTCCCACCATACTGTAGTTATGCTCTTAATTTTAGGTTTATTTAGTGTTTTATATACTGGAATATGTGATTGTCTTAAATTATACCCTGTACTGTAAAACATGATCGAAAAGTTCCTATGGTCTGAAACCTTTTAGTCATGAATGCATTCCTGTAAACTAAAAGCTTACAAAGAACCACCAGTAAAAGTAAACTATAGAATACAGTAACAGTTATGGAATGTTTTGCATACAACCACCTTTAAGAGGAAGCATTTCTATGACTTCGATGTTTTTTTAAGACAAAGCCAGCTTGAGATACCAGTAATGTAGTACAAATATTATTTGTCTTTCTCTTAACAGGGACTCAATCCTGGACGTGCAATTGCTGAAGTGAAGAAGCTCCTGTCTGGAATAGCTAAGAAAGGAGAGCCAGGACTAAACCCAATGGGTGCCAATTAAGTCTTAATATGAAACAAATAGTTGTCCTTGCTGTAGTAAATGAATTCAGTGAGAGGATAGAAAATATTTCTGCAACTGTACAATTATAAATTTGAAGCATTTACATTGTTTAGTGTTTAAACAGAGATGATATGAACAATGAAGATATTTTACAGGTTTTAAAATTTTTTAATTTTTTCAAGCCAAACTAGGGCATGAACCATCTTGGAAGATATTTTGTGAAGACCTTTGTATATAGCTTTTTCTCCTGGATATATTTTGATGAGAGAAGTGTCCGAACAGGAATGGCATTGGTATTTCATGGTTATTTTGGTAATTTAAATGGAGTAAAAAAAAGTAAAATTGGGCCGATTTTAATTTTGTAAGTTAACTACGGACTGTATTTGAGCAATTGACCAAATGTTTATGCCTTCAAAAAAGCACACATTAAATGATCTCAGGAGATCCTATCATATGTAAATGTGTATATTAAGTTACAATTATTGATAATTTAATGCATATATATATTTGTAGAATTGTAACTTAATAAATATTATTGTAAATACAGTACTTCCTCTTGATAATTTATCCTCCATTTCATGAATGTAATGTAATTAGTATCAAGAAGTGTAACCAGGTGTTAGAGACTTAGTTCTTTTGTATCATTTCATATCTAATTGCAACTTTGGCATCTCTGTAGTTATATCACAATGTGTAGATTGCACTTGTAAGTACTGTCAGTTCTCCGTATTTTTTAAATTAAATTTCCATAAATGGATTGGTAGCTAAAATAATACAAATTGAAAAACTTGAAATTTTACAATGAACTGGCCACTATTAGATTTATTTTCATTTTTTAAGTTCCATTGCCCAGTAGACATGTAGGATAATTTTTTAATTCTATTCTAATACTGTATAAACTTATACTAACTAAGATAGTCAATTCTTTCTTACTCTTTTATTCATTATTTTTTTATAACTTGCATTATTGATGGCTTGTACTGTTGTTATTGATCTAACGACATTAAATCTAAACCAACTATACCCAAGGAGTCGAGTGTAGAGTTTTCACTCGATGTTTTAAGACATTTTTAATCTCTGAAGCCTTTTTAGAGAGATTGAGATTTTTTTTATATGTAGACATGGTTGGACTAGTGTCAAGTACAATGAAGGGAAAAATTCATGCTGTAGAGTTCATGCAATCTGTGATAGTAATATATAAAGTATTTATGTAGCCGAGACCAATAAACCCAAGACCTTGTACCTTAAGATTAGCCTCAGGTAATTAAACTTCGGGTGGGATTAGCTGGAGGTCAATCTTCACGAGATTACCGAGGTCCACCATTACCTGAAGATTAGGCCTCTTGGGTAACACCACACTCCTGCATGGGTCTTCATGTAATTTGTGTGTAGAAATCCTCAATGGTCAAATGCATTCTGGTAGACAGATGCAGGTCATATGTAAGTTACTGTTAGTTCCTTTTCCTCATATGTGTTTGAGAGGGAAATTAAATAGACTAATAAAATAAAAATAGGCCTCTACTGTTACATGGTTTACGTACAGGTGTTGAGAGTGAACACACTTGCCTGAGCCATCTTCTACGATATATTGTACAGTAAGTCCATTGTAAGGTAGCCATGGCCGGAAATGACGTCTACTGGTGTCGGGTTATTGCAAGTGATAATTCATTGTCATGCAACAAGAATCAGATGTGATCAGGAGGGGAAGGAAGTCGTCTTCTGATCTCAAACTGTCAAAACTACATCCGGTGGTACCAGGCTTGGGCATCATGGATGTGTGCATACAGGATACAAGAGCAACATACCTAGAAAAAATGAGATACCATATTCTACGGCATGTAAGATGCCACAAAATATTTCTTCACGACAAAAATAACTAGAAAAACAAACAATAAAACATTCATAATAATTAAACTAGGCTCATAGAAGAAATTAAATAATTTCAATAATAACACTTCTTTATGCAATTCCACCACAATTCTCATATAATTTAGGTTCATTTGGTGCCAGGTTGATAAAAAAATAATCCCACACTGAACTTGAATTATTTCATACTCATTTGTTTACAAAGAGCAAACAGCTGATCGGCTTACCACACTATCTGTCCTCAACACTTTGTAAATCAGTATAGTACAGTTGTGTATTATCACCACTTAATAAATACTATTGTAGTGTATTTATTATCACAATAAGTAATATTGTAAAGCATTATGTATCTGCATAAACCCTGGTTTATTCATTAATTATTTGTCTAAGTGTACAAGTAGCCAAACTGAGTCATCATATAATACTTAAAGGTAGTAAATAACGTTTTTAAGAAGGTATCTTCATATCAAATACTATACAGTATGTTATAGTGACCCCTGTTGTAAGCTGGTCCACTGAAAGCTCACATGAACGCATCTTGAGTAAACAGCCTTCTGATACAGCTTATCCTTTTATTTTCAAGTCATATTACAAATTACATACAGTATTGTATTTTTTTCTCTATTACTGAAGATGTTATATTAATCTTGATGAACGATAAACCATAAGAGGCCAATCATGAGAATATAATACTGAATCAATAAATAAACCTGACGAATGTGGCAACACCTGATCAGCCCCAGCCTGCTTACATACTCATGTCTCTTAGTCTCAGTAGGCCTATAGCAAATCTGATTGGATCACTGTACAGTAATCAGTTAAGTGTTGTTCATTTCATAAGATTTTTATTTAATCTTCCCCATTTCATAAACTTTTTTTTTTCTGGTGACCAGAGCATCTCAAATCCGATTTATCGAGTTTTAACTGTACTTTGTATAGGATATTTATTTATTTGGCAATTGAACTCGCACATATTCTTTGTCTCAAGACTTGTGGTCCAGTTACCCACCAGTGACCTGCCTTGCTCTTCCACACCCTCAACAGTAGTGCTATTTCATCAAAAGTTGCTTGATCTGAGTGGCTTTGATAAACTATCTGGTGACAAAAACAGTGATGGGGAGGAAATAGACCCAGATGATGTAGAGTTTGATGAGGCAGCCAGAGGTGAGGACAGTGATATAAGACACAATGGTACTCCCTCCCCACTCCACCAGCCACCCCCACTCAGCAAGGTCATGGGTACCTTGGTGGACATGGGGGACCACGTGCATACCAGCCACAACAGTATACTTGGAGTGATAACACTAATTTTATGCCTGAAATACCAGCTTTCAACTGGATTTTAACAAAATGTTTATTTGCTGAAATATGCCCATGTGGGGGGTCCGGCTGGGGCATAGGGATTAAAGAATATATTTGACAGAATTCTGCTAGGAAATTTTATAAGACTGCTTACAGTCTTCCTCCTCACATCCATTCCCAAAGATTAGGGGTTGGACAGGTGCAAATCAACTTGCCCCCGACAGTAAGTTAGTATAAATGAATGACCAATGCACTGAGTGTGTTGTCTAAGTGTAGTTTAAGATGGACTTGTTTAATTTCCTCAGCAGAACAGATAAAAGTACTGTATTAATATATTACTATACACAAAAATACAGTATTGTGGACAGTTTCAAGTCATTATCATCATTCTGAGAAGATAAAGGCGAGAATAAAATGGTTGTGTTATAATGCAGTTTATTCCAAAGGTTGTGCCTGAGTTACTTGTAATTCATAACACATTTACCTGTACATCTTCAACAGAAATGCCTATTACCTATAATGAGAATTGCTTATTCCCCAAGTACAGTGTGTCTTTGTAAAGAAAACTTTGAACACTGTACGTATATGCATATTTAGAACAAAAAACAATTTATGCAGGAAATTATTACAATTTTGGATTTTTGCTTATTTAACCCTTTCAGTCCTAAGTTCGGTGGGTATGTCCTTCCAGCCTCAATTTTTTATGGGGGAAAGAAATTTTTAAACAATAATTTTAAAAAGTTAACCTTAGTGTTAGCAGCTGGTTTCCTTATGCTTCCTGCTTCCTTAATGATATTATAGTTTGGACCACTATGTCTTTCTAACATCTCCCTGTGCTCATCGACTACTTCCCATCAATATTGCATCTACCGTACTGAGACACATTTATGTTTATACAGTATTTACGTTTGCATCTACCAGAAGCATTTGTATCACTCAAGGTTGCCAGATATGAGTTCTGATAAACATCCGTCCTCCAAGGTGTTTGTAGGGTAATGAGCAGCTTTGAAATTTCTGAGGGTGAATTATAACTGTTGGTTACATATGGCATCATTAAACGGCTCACGGCTATTCCAGGATATTTGAAACGAGACGAGAAACATTCGTTCATATCTTGTAAATGCGTAAGACTCTGGTCCTAAGTAGATGAGGTACAAGTGTAGGTCTGAAAGGGTTAAAACATCCACACACTTGACTAGGATATTAGGATCCACAAGTGAAAGGCCTTTATTCTAGAACAAGTTTACTATATACACTTATCCCATAAAAAGTAAATACAAAGGGGAGCTGCAGATGATTAATAAAAATTTGTATGACTGTAATGAATATGAGCTTATGGAATAAACAGTGAAGAGATGAAAGCTGGTATGATCATGCTCTCTTTATGCAGCACTATTCCTTAACCCTCTACGAAGAAGACACAAAATACAGGAGGACCCTAACTCAACCACTGCATCACAACAAACAGTTTTGCTAGACAAGCAGTGATAATCAAATCTGACCAAGAAATATACAGTACTGTACTTACATTTTAATAATGCAAATTGGTTACATGTTAAGCTTTATTCCCATTTGCATTGTTTCCTATTGGACCTGAAGAAAGAAATGTGACATCATTGTACTGCTCTATGGACTCATCCTACTGGCTAATTGGTCATTCAGCTTTGGGAGGTTTAAAAAACTGACGGCACCGTTCCTCAAACACTCTTAAGCTGCGCTCTCGAATAATCTCTTCGATAGTTACTTCATTCTGTAATTCACGAATCTGGAAAAAAAAAAGACAAAAACTGAAGGGGGAAAAATTTATAAGGTAAAGTAAGATATACAAATTATCAAAATCTGCAGTTAGCCTGGGCTTTGTAGCATCACCTTAACTGTTTAATGTATTATGTATAAGGTGATGCATGAAATGAGCTGAACTGGGTTACTAGTGTTTGCATAATTTATATTGATACAGAATGAAAGTACAAGAATCTTAATTGCCAAGTGAGGTTGAATGGTACAGTACACTATTTAGAAGCAGTGTTTTGGATGCAAATATTGAAAGTTAGTACAGTACAAGTAAGAGTTAAGTTTTCGTGTCTTAAGGAGATATACGATCTCATTCTAATGAATATGAGCCAAGGTGGGAAAACTTTTCAAATATTAGAGGTCGATGTTTACACAGATTAGGAATGCTAAAATCTAAAAAAAATAGACTGTACTGTAGCACATTTCAGTGTACAGTATATGATGCATACTAGGTAACCATAACATTAATATAATTACTGTATTAGGCCTTGCCTTTACTTAATTTTTTTTTTACATTACGTACTTCCATAATTTCTAAGAGAATGTAAATTCTGTTCTGAAAATTCCACATCAGTGAAAATTCTACATGAGTTCTAGAAATTTTAAAAGATTAAGCAAATGTTATAGCATCGGCGGAAATTCTACAGTAGCATTTCATCATAATTATACTGTACCACAAAAACTACCAAGTGTACTAGAAACATACTCTGCTCTGTTCACTACGAATCTTCCTCAAGATCTGTGGATTTTCTTTTTTGTGAAGAGCTTCTGCCTGTAAACTGCGAACCTTCACCCGTGATTCATTCAAACACGTCTCAATCATGGCTCCTCTATGTTCATACGTTTTACTTAACTGAAAAGAAAAAGAAAAGTACGGTAACAAATTAAGAAAATATTACATTCAATAACAATTTCAATACACTAAATACTGTACTGTATACTGTACTTCTGATATCAGCAATACAGGTATGTATTAATAATATTATTAATTAGCATAAAACATCTGTGATAAGTTGCAAACGCAGGCAGATTTCCTTTGACCGATATAGTATAGTGTAATGAGCCTAATGCCTGTGCTTAATGCCCTCTGTAAGTGCAACAGGTCTGCCATATTGTACAGTATACTGTATATGTATGTGTGTGTTTCTTTTTAACCTTTCTTGTCTGGTTAAGAAAACCAAGACAGATGGATCGGCAACAGTTTTCAGTGCACTCAGCTAACCAAATGGGAAGAAAGAGGTGGACCAAAGTTGCCCTGTCCCAGTTTGGTTAGCAACAAGATTTCATGATTAATCTTTCATTTGTAATCTAAGGCCATTTGTAATCAAGATCAGCTTAAATGGGAGGCATCAAAACATATATCATAATATAGTACACTTAGAACTAGCTATGAGTGCCAAACAATGATTCACAATACCCTCTGCTGAGATCTGAAGGACATACTGCATATAAAGGCTAAGAATAACATAATACCTCTGATATTGTGCCTGAAGAATATTGTCAGATTGGGAAATATTAACACCCTTAACCAGAGTAACTGTACTGTATTGGAAATTAAGGCACAGTTTGCTTTCACCATGCAATTATGACTTGGTACTAAAAAGTGTTCATCAAAGTGACATATTTCCATTAAATAAGTGTGAATTTTCATTATTACAAATAATACATACAATCGTAAGTTTAGAAAGGAGTAACCTCAGACTAAAATTCTGACACCTTATTCTTTTAAAAAACTTTAAAATTAGTCTTAGCCTTCATGAGATTAAACCATCACCCCTCTCTAATAGCATGAAGTTTAGGGACTCATCTCCCAGCAGCAAGAGTGAGAAGGAAAATTACTTCCATGATGACTAGTTCTAAACCCTCAGCCAAAATATTTCCTACTGAAATAATACTGATGATAAAACCATATCACTTCCAGACTTTCCAAGTATCTCTTCTAACAGAAATTTTATACAACTCTGACTAGAAGTCAGTAATAAAGGCCTCTCATTAAGCTCAGGAATATACTAGCTAAAAGTGTATATTATCTAGGAGTGAATGGTGTGACTTGTTGGATGGAAGAAGAAATTTGATGTGGGGAGGTAAAGTAGGGGTAGGCCACGAATGACATAGGGAGGTAGAAAGAAATGCCTTACTTGTTCATTTGTAATAATGAAATTCCTTTGCTTTGTCTTAAGAGCAAATGCTATTTAATAAAGTTATATCAACATTTCTACTCATTACAAGAGCATGAAGCCAACAAGAATAATTACAAAACTGGCTTTTTTTTAATCCGTCCTAGATTTTTTTTTTTTTGTAATCTACGCTTTAGACAAGTCTACATTGAGAATTTGTACTGTGGTTTGAGAAGTTAGCTAAGACTTGGTGGGAAAATGGGTCAATGATCCAACTGTCACTGAACATCTTAATTCAGAGTTGGCTAGTTTTCAGAATCCTCCTCCTAAATCCTTTTAATTGCCACATGGGGACCCCCAATGGTAATATCATCCTCAGAAAATGTTGCATGTAGATTTCATAAACTCAATGCTGTAAGGGAGTTAACCTGAAATGACACCACAGTATTGTATCTTGTTAAAAGACATGAGCCAAAAATCCAAATCTAGATATATCTATCTATAGGCTGAGCTAATGTAATGTGAGTGTAAGATGTGTTGCTGGGATTTGAAAGCTCTGCAAACTAATTACACCAGCAATATCACTAACTGGGTTGTTAACAAATGTTAACACACCTATAACTCAACACAGTAACTACAACATTATAAACTTATCTAAATCTAGGGGTAGCACATAGCTTCAAACAGGAGATATGACAGAAACACATCTAACCAGTAGCTCATGTGACCAGAAATTTGGTGCTGATCCAGGGTACTTTTGTACCAAATGTTTCCTTTATTAGAATCCAGTGTGAAGGTGAAGGATATTCTAATTTCTGAAAACTTCAATTTCTAGATTCGTCACAAGCTTCCGATTTACCGACTACTATATACAGAGCACTGTACAGTCACTACGTTCTAAGAAAATGCTTATCTTCACTGCTAGTTCTCCATATTTCCTACAATTTCACAACAAAGGCATTGTCAAAAACTATGAATTCACCATCTTTAGTGTAAGTGTGCCATTATTATGAGAAGAAAATGCTGAGTATCAGAATTCAGTACATGTACCTCACTACTTCTAAAAACAAAATACTGTGCTAATATTGATCACAACCACTGTCATATTATTACATGAGGCATAAAGCACTAAAAAGTGCACTTAGTTAATTTTATACCACATTTGCCCTAATTCAAAATAATGACTTAACACGAACACCTGAAGTGAGGCATCATACCTCAGCAGGGTCCAATATTGATTAGTTTTTTCTTAACACAAGAAATATACCATGATAGGCAAAAAGAAAAATGCATGTTATAAATGATTTATGACAAAATTGATTTAAATCATGTCTTCAATGTCATAAATGTCATAATGAAATAACACGTGTACAGAAATCAAATACTACATGTAAAGAAATATAGAAAATACCAATGAATAAACGTGTTTCAAGTTAAATTCTTAAGCAGCATTATATTTAGGTCAGATGTAGAGAAATAAAAAACTAAAATACAATAAAGCTATTACACTTGAATTTGCCAAAATTTACATGTTGGCAGGAGTTCTGCTCTCCAAATATTTTGAAGCCTGCTCTTACAGAGATAAATGAAATTAATAGTGGACTCAGTTATACTGTACTCCCAATAATTTGACTGAACAGGAAACAATCAAATCATTGAACTGCAAAATTTGTCTTAATTCATAAAAATTTCTTATTTTCGAGTCGCAGCTGCTATATTTAGTCACTGATTTGTTATTATGAAGGTTGAAGAGCAGTTAAAAATGTATGTAACATGTAAATATTAATTTATGAAATTTATGACACTTTAATGAGTCAAAAATTGCTGTTTTAAATCATGCCAACCCTGAAATATAATATACAGCTCCTCCCCGACTTACGACGGGGTTAGGAAACCAAATCCAGGTCGTAAGTCGAAATGGTCGGAAATTGAAAATGCTTTAAAACATAGAAAATCTAAAATGGGTGTGTCTTTTTCTTCTCAGCACCACAAAACTCTCACTTTTAAGCTTGCCAGCCATTTTAAAGTGAATTACAAACGAAAAAAATTTCTGTGTAGGTACTGACGTTGGGACTTGAAAATACGTAATTTGACAAAATTTTGGTACGACTGAGGCAGGTCGTAAGTGCGGGTGGTCGTAAGTCGAGTAGGTCATAAGTCAGGGAGAAGCTGTAGTTTTGTTCACATCCACTGGGTAAAATTTACATGCACAGTACCACATTTACCATACATTCAAAATAATGACAATTATTACATCAATTTAATATAAATACTTCATGCTTACCCTAATAGAAAAACAGACTACATCACATTCATTATACCTTCTCCTACGCAACCATAAATGAGAACAATATTAACTACAGTACTCAAGGTTCTTAAAAAGAAACATAACAAGATACCACCAAGGGAGCTGAAGCAATAACTAAGGACCATTGGCCCTAGGCTAATTAAAGTCCAAGGCAGGACCACCCCTGGTGCAGGGGATTGTGGGGGTGGGGCCACCCTGAAAATTCTGGGGCAGAGGATAGGGTTAGAATGACAAGAAAGAGAAGAGAATGAATGAGAATGGGTGGAACAAGAGAATGTAAGCGAGGAATAGGAAAAAGTGCTCATATACTCACAAGTTACTGTAAGTATGTCTAGATGTTCCAAGGAAGTTTGTATGTCGCATACCGTAGTACAGTATTATGTATACAGTAAGTTCTAACTTCTCACAAACTCGGGCAGCCATATAAACAGGCAACAGGTACTACAAAAAGCAACATTTCTAAAATTTGGAACTATTGTAAACAGGTACAGTAGCTATAACAACTATCTGTGCATACTTTGTGGGAAATATGACTCCTCCCCGGCTTACAATGGGGTTAGGGACCCAAATTCAGGTCGTAAGTCGAAATGGTCTTAAGTCGAAAATGCTTAAATAATACATAGAACATCTAAAATGGGTCTCTTTTTCTTCTCAGCACCACAAAACTCTCACTTTTAAGCTTGCCAGCCATTTTAAAGTAAATTATAAACGAACATTTTGTCAGTACACAGCGCAATCACTGACGTTGGGACTCGAAAATACGTAATTTGACAAAATTTTGGTACAACTGAGGCAGTCATGTGTCCGGGTGGTCGTAAGTCGGGGAGGAGCTGTAATATGAGACCACGGGCGATAAATTTTGGTAAATGAGGACTGTCACTAGTCACACATAAAATTTCAAAGCATATCGACCCCCACCTGCACAGATAGTTGTTTTAGCTACTGTACATTACAAAGTATTCCATGCAAAGGTTTCTCAAAGCCACACTCATAATAATCAAGAAGTTGAGAGAGCATATATCTTTAACCTTAGGAAATTGTGCAATTTGAGTGTCACAGGGAACTAGTTTTAACCATTCTCAACTGAACTCTATATCTCAACAATTCCTCAAACAAAACATTCTCTCCAATTTCAAACTTCATACTCCTGCTGACATCCCACTGTCCTTACCTATCATATCAGTACTCTTCCCAGAAATGTCCTTCCCTTATCTGTTTACATACAGAGTACAGTACTTTTGTTTTGTATTCTGCATCACATTTACTTATCTACTGACAACGTTATCACTATCCACTTATCTCATGTTTTACCTCTTCATGTCATCAGATGGTTGCAGACTTTCAAAACCTGATCCTCACACTTTTAAACATATTCGTATCTGTAGTATCTATAAATGGCTCCACATCTCATCCCGTGTACAGCCAGTAAAATAAGTATCGAGCACCCCAAAGTTGATGGAATAGAAAATGAGTGATAACCAACTGACGCCAGTTACCACGGGTACAAGTACCTGTACTGTATACATTTACAGATTTTGCACGATAGTTCATATTGTTTCGCATGACAGGGTGGTCGATACTTTTCTTAATGACTGTACAGTATAATATTAATTTTGTCAAGATTAAATCTTTATCATTCTCTTTTTCACCACAGTAGCACATCTAGCATGTGATAATACTGGTACAGTACCAGTATACTGTACCCCAATTTATGATTTTATTCCTGAAACCCCTACTGTATTGTAAATCATTTTACAGTAGTCATAAACTGAATCATATCTGTCCATTGATTCCCATTATAAATTGGAAGATACAGTACTACAGTAAGTTTCTAGTGAACAAAAAATTCTCCATGTAATATTATGACCAGCTTCAATGTGCCTTAACACCTCCAATTTAATATCTAAAGTGATACAGGTAGCTTTGCGGGATTGCCTACCACTAGGGGTATTGCTCTTGTTCATTACACTTGTTGGTCATTTTCCCTACAAAACTAATTTGAAAATTTCTCTATTGTTTTTGTTTGTTTTTCTAAATCTGTAGTGATGTAAATTATTTACTATAATAATGTTTTTTGTATAGTTACTGTAAATTGAGGTATACCTGCATTAAGGATATCAATAACCAAAATAATATCATACAAACAATTATTCCCTCACCTTGTATTCTATTTTTTCCTCCACAATCTCTGAAGTGATAACTGATACTGTACAGCACACTGGTAACACATGAATGATGAATCCTCATTTTATACTCTTTATTCATTATATTTTCTCTTCTAACACCAATCTAAACTGTCTACTTAATGTATTCACTCAACTCACTATTCATTCAGATCAACACTACTAATCACTTTTGTATGTGCTGGTATTCTTTCCATTGCAAGTTTTCTCCAGAGACCAAACATAACTCATTCAAAAGACTTTCATCCACACTTTAAACAGCCAAATTTTGTTGAGGTCCTTTCATGCCTTCCCTATGACACGCATTAGTTTTCCTAATTTATCTCAAGTTCTGTAGTCCTTCTTAAACAAGCCATCAAAACTCTGTCATATTCCATTCCAAATACAGTATACACGTACTGTACTTAGAAACAAATATCCCTTTGAGTCTTGCATTTACTGATACTGTACTCCCTTCACATTTATTCAAAAGGGCATTCTATCCTCTCATCTAACTCTGTTTTACTCCACTGTTCTTTCACCTCTCACTCTGTTTCAACTCACTAACCAATTCAACTTTACTCCCCAATTAATAATTTTTTGACAAAGCTACCAATCTAACTTTGCTCAATATCTAACATTTTGCAGCCATAACTACCAATCCAAGTATGCACTCTACATTAACACTACCGACATTACTACCCTATTCTCTGTGTCTTCCATTACATCATCTCCATACTTATTCAACTCTTCCTTCACCTCCATTCCAAATGCATTTACCCCACACTTCTTACATCATCATCCACCAGGAAAACATTTTAAATACTTTCTCTCTCTACCACAAACTTCTTTTCCTAGTCATCACACACCAATGTTGCTTCAAAAACCAGTCAGCTTTGTTCTCACTCACTTTACCTTCTCATTCTATCATGATTTTTATCCAATCCCAAACACAACAAGAAAATGGATTGTGATACCTTTCATCACCTCCCTTAATTATATAAAGAAAAGGGAAAAAATGTGACAAGACAAACTATGTATAAAAGGTCAGGGTTCAAGATCAATGGTTCAGCTCAGCTACAGTACATGTGAATAAAAAAATTTGAGTAATGAGGAAATACAAAAATGACAAGAGTGTAAGTGATGGTCTACAATATAAATGCTATTTCATGAACATCAGTCACAATAACTGGCAGCTTTGTATCCTGACCAATCAAGAATAATATGGTGCACGTGATATGATCCAAGATTCAAATGCTGCCTCAAGAATGTCAAAATATATATCATTGACAACTTTGCTTTATGACCAATCATCAGTTGTTCCATTAATCTTCTGACCAAGACCTTACTGTTAGCGCTCCTCGTCTATACCACATCAGAAGTTCACTCACAATCTAAAATAGAGGAGAAAGGGATACTGCATTACGATCACCAGGGATAATCTAATGGCTTAAAAATGATCTATACAATAAGTTTTATTGCAAAGCATTTGCATAATCTTAAACTGCTTATCAAGAAAAAATCAGGAATATACTTTTTTCAATGCATCAGAGTGAGGCTTTACTGAGTGGTGCCACAACAAAAATAAATAGAAAATCAGTGAATGGCAGATATTATTTCCCTTCCCTTATATTTTTCAGTAGGTCATACATTTTCTTCCCTCAAATCAAGACCAAAGAGCCTTTACACACATAATAATTCAACAAATGAAATATCCAAGGAAGCAATTCTAGTGATTTTCAGGTGTAAATACAATTTTTACATCAGAGAATAAACAATAAAATATAGTGGACCCCCCATTAACGGGCGGTTCAATTTACGAGATTTCAATTTACGAGTTACCTCCCGTAAGTACTTTGTTCTATTAACGAGTACAAATTCTATTAACGACAGCCTTACGAGAAACACGTTTTGGTGTGCGCATCAGCTGATCGACTCATCCACCAATAATAGGTTTTTTGTTTACCTTTGTTTCCAGTGGAGTAAACATCGAGAAAGTTGTGCTCGTGAATATTTTGCATGTTTACATTAAAATTATTGGTCATTCTGAAATTTAGTTAACATATTAATAATATAGAGTGCAGTGTTGGTTTAAATAAAAAAATCTGGAATTAGTTAAATAAATTGTTGTGAACTTAAAAATTTTATTGGTGAAATTATCAAGTGTGGGTCTGAAGAAATCTTGGAAGGCGATTTCAATTCAAGTGAAACGAGAAATTATTAAGAAATATGAAGAAGGCATTAGAACCAATGCACTCTGTAAAAAATATGGCATGTCGTTATCGACTGTGTCTACAATCAGCTGTTTTCACTGCCGCTATGTAAACAAAGCCGCCGGGAATTCTACATACACACCTCAAAGTAAGTGATAAAATATACTGTAAGTATATATATTTTTTCATTATTGTACAGTATACTATCCAGTACTGTATTTTGTTTATATTTAATGCTTGGATCATTCTATTACTAATATACAGTACTTTGTGCATACTTATTATTTAATTTAAATGCAATTCTGTAAGTTGGAACCAATTACCCAATATCCCATTGAAATAATAGATTCAGTTAACGAGATTTTCAATTAACGAGTGACTCTGTGGAACCAATTGTGCTCGTTAATAGAGGGACTACTGTACTTTTTAGCTTTGTTTTTATCTCAGAAGTACTGTACATAAAAGTTATTTATTATAAAGATGTGAGTGGCAGCCATTCACAGACCATGTATGGGAAGCTTCCTTTTCAGTAGTAAGCATAAGATATCATGATTATGTTTTGAGAGAGAGGAAAGGGATGTGTTGCATCATACTGATTTCATTCCAAAAGTTGAAAACATGGGACAGTTCTGTAGGCATCATTACACAATGTATTATCAAACAAGCTTGTTATGCAGGAACACTGAAAATGGCAGATCATGTGAGAAAACCTATGGTAAGTACAGTAGAAGCTAAAATACTTCAGGTGCATGACAAAGTAAAAAAAAATGGATTTGTATTACCTCTTGGATGTATATAAATTGAGAAACAAAGTCAAAGTGGTGTGGTAAAGTATATCAAATGATGCTGTTCACTGAATCAGAAAATGACAAGTTATTTAACAAATGTTGTAAAGTATTCAATTCTAATTATGCCACAGTTACAGTACAGTACAGTATAGTCTGCATTTACGCGGTCAATTGAACCTGTGGAGGCCCGCGTAAAACGAGAAACGCGGAAATGAAATAACAGAACATATGGGATTAATTGAAATAGAGACTGGGCCGACCCCCAAACTCCACTTCTTCCGACACAATACATACCTTGTAGTCAAAATATCATCTAAATTTTATGATGGTATGCACACACAATTAATAATTAAGAGAAATGTCAATAATATTAGGTTTTTAACACTTACGTTAGTCGAAAAGATGGCTGGGCACACGGGGATGGGAGGTTGGTTCCGAGGCAGAGGGCAGATTATTGGCCCTCACTTGTATCACTTGTATCACTATCCACCACAGAGGCTTGCAGGGCCTCTTTGTCAAACCCCTCTCTATCACTGACTTGGGCCGGCTGTGGTGGGTGGCGGGTGAAGAACTCGGAAATGTTTTGATGACTGGGCGACCTTGTGCGCACCCTGCCCGCACAGCTTCCCGCGTAAATGACCAAATTTACCGCGTAATTAAAGCATTCACTCTGGCAAGGCACAGCGTAAATGACCAAAAGCGTAAACAAAAGCCGCGTAAATGCAGACTATACTGTATTATATTTATAAAATATTTTAATTCAAACATTTCCATACTTATGACTGGGTCTTAACCTTCTTTTTAATTAGTTCAGTGATTCTGGTTTTCTTAAAACCAGACATTTACACTTAATTCTTCAGGAAAACAAACAGTTGCCCATGGCTGTCATAATTTCCAAAACTTTCTCACATCAAACAAGAACTATAAAATATCCAGACTTTTTTTTTTATTCTGATTGATTGTTGAATAACTACTATTGAATACCATGGCACATATTGCCTGCCAAGCTCCATGGTAAAACGAGTCTCCTACTAAAAAACAAAGGCATCCTCAAAAATCAAATAAGAAAAATTAAAATTATACATCTCCCAAAATAAGTAAAATTCCCCATTTTTCACAATTACTTGGCATGCAGAGCTAAGAATGAATCGGTCATGATGCCATCCCCAGGTCTGAGGGTTGACATTCATGGCTCCACTCCAAGTGGTCTGAAGTTTCAGATTTTGTTTCTCTAAAAACTTCGTTCCTAATTTCATTCAACCATTCCAATTTCCACCTTCCCCTGGCCCTCCTACACATTATTATATCCATAACTCCAGCCATGAATGAAGGAAGCCTTCAAGAATGCTGAGAATATTGTGGTTAAAGCAAAAACCCCAGTACTGTACAATATTGTAGTCCAGACTGAATGTTTATCCTCAGAGACAAAATGTAAATCAAAATCTTTAAGAGAAATTGAAAGAACAACTGGAAGTTGTCAAATGCAAAGATACACTTATAAAGAATCTGGAAAGGAAGGAGGAAGAATCAGCTTAGCCATCAGTTAAAGATACCCAAGCTGTATGCTGAGAAAAATGGTTAAAATTGGGAACGAGTTAAGCATGATAAGTATGGAAGGACAAGATACACTACAAGAACAACTGAAGCCACCATCCTCAAAGCTGAGCACAAATGGGTAATCTTAAGGAGGGCACCAAACCTTTAACAAGAAGCAGAATACAACAATGCTTTTATCTTTCCCAACCAACACACAGTTACTCAGCTAGCCAGTGTGAGAATGCTCATTACAGATAAGAAGTAGTCAAGTAGTCAGGGCAAGAGGTGACCGACCTGTAAATGATGAACATGCTCTATCTTTAAGTACTGTACAGTAATACTGTACCACTGTATTACTTAACCCTAAGGCTCTCAGCCTCCTTAGATGATGACAAGACATACCAGAAGCCTTGATAATAAGACAATGTGTTGGCTGAATATGTGAATATGTACTGTACAGAACATTCAAATTTCACCGAGATTTGGTGAAACTTTTTTTCAGCAGGGTTTCATCCACCATTCAGAAAGGCTAGGGCAACATAGAGGTGTCCTACTGTATGTTGCCAATATTTATAGCACCACTTCCAAGAATTTTACTTCCTTCAACTAAATCAAGATCTTTTTCGATTTTGTATTTTTACTTAGGTAGATGTTTTTGGTTCATGTGTTTTATTCCTTTTGGAAGCAAGTCAGGAAAATAACTAAATAAAAAAAAATGCCCAAGACAATGGAAGGCAGTGGTCAAGTCAGCACAAGCCCTGAGATATTTGCTCTCTGCTGATTTAGAAGACAGGAACTGAAGCATCATCTGCCAGAGAAAACATGATTTTCACTGGTTCTATAATTACTGTGATCACAAGGCAGGAGACTCCTCAGACTGGATAGATGCTCAACTGATGTGAAGATGATCATGAAAAATGAGGTAACCTTTATGATGAGTACCCAAGAGAGCTTTCAGCTGGATCTTTCTGAGAAGCTCAAGACCTTAGAAGATAATATAATTTAATTGGGGGGAACTCTCTCAGGGTTCTGTGTCACAGCCTCAGACATTTGCTGCAGCCTTGAAGGAAGCACTGGATGAGTCAAGGAAACTAGTGGAGGTGGCATAAAACCAAAGCCTACACAGTCAGCCTGTCCTTAGAATAAAACCAAAACAGATATTGTGGCTGATGAACACGAATTAGTCATATTTTCCTTCCTGCCAGCAGGATTTAAGACCAAAATAATTTCCTGCCAAGGATCTGTGGCAGTACTGTACAGTACTGTATTGCCTTTTTAGATATTCTCCCATCAAATCTATCTGATATTAGTTTCATCTTTTTTTCAATTCCTATTTAGTGCAGAATTATACTAAATCCTAAATACTAAATTTTATGCTTACTCAGACACCCCAGATAACCGGAGATTCACTTTAAATATCGGAAAAATTCTGTTTACTTGAACAACTTTCTGTTAGGGTTCTTGAAAACCCAATGGTTAAAAAGAGCTTGACCATATAGTAAATAAGGGGTTAGGTTACTAGACCTCACAGAGACAAGTCCAGAGCCTTATAATATTCACTTTAGAGTAAAATACCATAAATGTATCCGGTACAGTATATACAGTAATAAAAGCATATAAACAGCATTTATGCTAATTTTCCCTATCCTCTTAGTATCTGATTCATAATTTGTGTACTACTATACTGGAAGTAGTGTATCAGTTATGAAAACAGAAACTGCTGCTCAGGACAGTCCAAAGCATCAATTAGCCCAGTAATGCAACATACAACTATGCAATCAAATATTTACCAAACTTTACTGTTCTTCTGCCTTCTTTAATTTTTACAAAATTTTCTAAAATCCAAATCCTCGCTAT